TATTAGTATCCTAAGCACTGGTTTTCTCATCTTCATTTGTCTCTTTGTGAAGGGGGTTAGATTGGTCTAGATTAAGAATGGATTGAAAGTCTGCATTTTAGGATGAAAGGATCAAATGCTGTGATTATCCACATTAGGAAAGAGAAACTGTTCAGGGACTCAATGAGAATATACTAATGGGGTTTGATATAGTTCAGCAAGAGATCTTGGTGCCACAAGGAGGAATTAAAACCCCAGGGAACAGATTATATGGGGAGAGACAAGTTAATATGACTCTCAGACAGAGTAAAAAAAAGGGGGGGGTACAAAGGGTCCCTGAAGTAAAATATGGCAGGAGTTGAAATGGTGAAAGGGGGAGGGGGTACTGACCATTTTGATAAAGTGCAGTGAATTGCACCAGTAATTCCTCCAGGCCAGGAAGTTATTGATTCCTTAGGAGAAGGCAAGGGAGGGAAAAGCAGGGTCACTTACCTCAAATACTTAAATACAATCATAATATTAGCATGTATTTTAATATTAATTTCCATCTTACAAAGTGCTTTACATGCATTATCCCATTTGGTATCATTATAACCCTATGAGGTAGATCTTACTATCCCCATTTTACAGATGAGGAAACTAAGGCTCACAAAGGTAAAGTGGCTGCAGGTAACTGATTTTAAAACAAACAAAACCTTTCATCTTTCTGCTTCACCACTGGGCCCTCACTCAAAATGTAATGTCTTTGCATCTACAATGCAAAGATATTGCACGTACAGTTGCATGTACAATGAAGGCCATTCGCTGGATTATTCAGGGTTAGGAGGTTAGGGCAAGGGGGAAGAATCTACTCTAATTATGGCCTTAACTACTTTCCTAAGGTTAAAACTACTTTCCTAAGGTGAAAAATGTGACCAGCTTTGTGGTATATGGGTAGTATGGAAGATAACATCATCGTCAAGATAATATTATTCTCCTCCCTCCCTTTCCCCACAAAAAAAAAAACAAAACAAAACAGAAAACAAAAAACAAAGAAACAAGCTGTTTATTTCACTCTCTTTCTCTCCCTCCCTTCTACTCTGCCCTTTTTCTCTTCCTCCTCACCCCCTCCCCTACCTTCATATTAATCCAGATCATGATAGAGACGGTTACATGGATGATTTGGAATATTTCTTACTGTGTAAATCTGGCCTTGGAGACAGCAAAAAAAAAAAAAAAAAAATCAGCCAAGTTAAAAGGTGGGCTGCAACACCACCTGGAAAGGAAAGGAAAGAAATGGCAGCACTTTCTCCTGGGAGTTGATTTCCCTATTTGGGGAAGGGGGGAGTGTTCAGATCTGTAGCACAAATGTACTATCAGGCTCTGAGTTTAAAAATGCATATTTGATACCTCCCTCTGTTAAGGAAATACATCACCCTGACATGACTCCCAGCTCCTAGTACAGTTATTTTTTGAAGCATTATGTAATTGGATTGCATGGTCAGTAGTGCTCCCTTAACAAGCCTTTCAGCAAACCCTCTATGGCAGCTACAGCCAATCCTTTCTTGCTACATACACACTCTTATTCACGCAGGCTCAGTCTAGAGTAAACTCTCAACCAAATACAGTAAAGAGAGATGAGATCACATCTCTGAAACTGACAATCCTACCCCCTTATTATATTTTTAATGGTTCAGTGCCTGATTCTGAATGTTCAGCCCATGTTTATTGAGGATTGGAACACTAAACGCTAAAGCCAAAAAATGAGGCCAAAGCTAGCCACACTGAAAGGGGAGTGGACCTTCACACATATCCCTGCATTCCCCTCCCCCAGCCTGGCTTCTTTCTTGAAGGTGAATAGCTTCAAAGTGAAACACCCAGGGAAAGCTCCCTTCTCAAATTCCGGACAGCAAGAGGCTACATCGTTTTGTTACTTATCCACTCTCTCTCCTTCTGTCTCTTACTCACAGTTCAGAGGATTTTCTAATTCTCTTGAGTATAGTTAGCCAACTAGTCATCCCTTCCTGTTAGCTTGCTGACTCAGATGAGCAGGGAACTAACTGGCTCACCAGCATCAGGAATTGTAAGAAAACTGCAAAAACACAGTGTGACTTTCCCCTGGTACTACAGGGTGTAGCTAGACACTGGGCCTGCAAATATAGTAATATCATGGGCCATTGTTTCAGGGGATAATGCTCTGCAGCTGTCATCCTTTTCTTTCTTTCTTTCTTTCTTTCTTTCTTTCTTTCTTTCTTTCTTT